ACTTTAACACCTCCAGCACCACAGTCACAAAAGAACCTGCTCAACCGCGAGTAAACCACCTTGTGACCACGATGACACACCTTTGCACATACTGAGCAGCATCCCTTGGACACTGTCAAGTCGCAAGTGTAGCAGAAGTACCAGTGCTGCTCCATAAAATTGCTCCCACTTGATGTGAAGGTGCAAACTCTAGAAGCAAGAAGCCTCTCAGTGTTGATGCCGTCCTCGTCGTGCTCTCGATCCAGGCTTGTTAGCTCACCATCAGATGTCCCCTCGTCATCGTCTTCGTCGGCAGAGGTAGCATCACAGTCGGCATTTCCCCCCTCTGTCACCTGAAGAGATTGATCGGAAGGGCCGCGAGGAACTTTAGCCTTTCCAGAGGATGTGCCTTGAGAAGAAGGGTGCTTACTCCTCGAGAATAATATTTTCCGTGCACCGCATGCCGTCAGCACGGAATTCAAGAACGCAAGTAGCCACTGCAGGCCCTCGAGATGATCGCCATCAGCAGGAACTTTTGATAGCACGTCAACCACAGCCCTTGACACATCTTTAAGCAACGGTTCTCCACTTGCCAACTGCACGATCGCCATGAGGTAAGATCTCGCCATCTCAGCTCCATAAAAAGTAAATGCTCGCTCCAAGGTCGTGAGCATCGCGTCAAGGATATGAGCTTTAAGCTCCTTCGCTTCGGAAGCGATGATGTTCTGAACGAAACGAACAGCCAGCTCTCTCACGGGTGAAGACGGAACGGCTTCCTTGTCCCCGATTTTACACCCTGAAATCCGTTGTTCTAACCAGGTTCCAAGTCTATCCCTTTCCATGGCCAGCAGTTTCTCCTGTAAGTTGCTTCTACACCTAAGCTGGAAACTGCTCGGCTTCTCTAGCAAATCCACAAGAAACCGGAGCATCTGCATGTTCACGGTCTCGTTGGAGCAGCCATCCAGAACGTCCACGTATGAAGACAGGTTTCCTTGCTCCACAAAAGTCCTCACCCCCTCCTGGCTGTCGGAAGCACCAAACTGAACGCTGAAGGCTCTGCTTCTCCGGGCATCAGTTCTTATTGTGTTTGTCACTTCCAGAACTTGGCAGACTATTCCTTCACGCAGAGGCTCCGGGACGTGCTTGCTCGTACACAAGATCTTGAGAATCCACTCTACATGCTTCAACGTGTAGACATCAGCATATAGCTGAACGTGGTCTTCCGGTAAGTTCACCGCAAATAAGATGTTGGTGCAGAAAATCTCAAGTCTATCGAACGCGCAGTTCATTTTTACCGGCATGATCGTCTTTAGGAGCCCGTCAACCTGGGAGCTGCTCAACTTTACACCGTCGGTGTCCAAAACGTTCTCGATAGTTTGCAGTAACCCCTCCAAAGTGAGCATGCAAGAAACTAGAGCTGCATCCCCTTGATACGAACAAAGAGGAAAGCCATGCAGAACAACGGGAGAAAGTGCCCCATCCTTTTCCCAGGCCCCTGCTTTCTTCACAACGCTCGAGAGCTCGTCTGTCCACGTTCTAGACGATTCCCACCGTAGAAGTGACCTCAAGACACTCGAGCTACCACCAGCCTTGTCCAACATATCATACCGCCTGTCCTTGGGAAAGTTCGTCCGCAAAACTAGACCGATGAAAGATACGACGTCTTCAGAGCCAAACTGCTCCAGTAAAATTTGTGAAAGGCAGTAGTCGGCAGCTTTCACGTACCAGCCCACGATGGATGACAAACTTTGGAGGAGTTGCTCTAGTTGCCCGTTTTCCACAATATAACGCAGAACGTGGTGAAAAAGTATATCTGGGGGACTACGTTGAAGCGGAAGATAAAGCAAGGCCAGTGTCGCCCCTTGCCTCAATAAATCCCATGACGTCAACTTGATAGAGCCTCCATGCATAGACACTTCCAAGGATTTAAGGGACTGTAGAAAAAACTCCGCCCACTGCCCCACACCATCCGATGACTGCCGCTGGAAACCGGCAGAGACGCTCTTAGCCACCTTGAAGAAAAACTCCAAGCCAGTAGATGTATCAGAATTCCAAGGATGGACCGTCGCAGAACTGGAGCCTTGCAGAATGCTCCAGCATAGCATGAACAAGTATCTCTCCAGTAACAGCTCGTCCACGTTTGTGATAAACCTCCCCGTCCAAGCTTCAAGCAGACTAGAAAGATGCGAGTGTAGGCCTTCAACGTCACTGCTAATCACCAGATTCCCCCCAGCCGGACAGCTCACGTCAAACAGATGTGAAATGCAGCGCTCGTCGATCATATGATGGACCGGCCTCCGAGCAAAAATGGCAGCCCAAGATGGGAAAAGACCCTCCTGGATGGGAAGCTTGGATGACTTTTGAAACCACATCTGCTTCGACAGGTCCGAAACCAGCCACTTCGGAAAGCTGTTGAAGTGGAAGATAAGATACTTCGCAGCCAGAACCAGTCTCGAAGTCAGAAGAGCCCAAGGAGCCAAGGAAGCACCGGCAGCTTTCTTTTCGTTGCCGCACGTTGCCAGTGCTGATGATAAAAGGTTCACTATAGCCAGCCGATTTGGAGAATCCAAAGAGTGGAACGCCATAAACAACACTTCCATGTGAAACCAGGAGGGAACTACTGCCGTGGCCTTGTCCAAGTCCCCTTCGAAAGCCTTGATGTTCCTCACGTTGTCGACAATCGAATCCAGGAACGATCTCCAAAGATCATGTACCAGAGGATCATTTGACGACGTAACACCTTGACAGAACCGGTTTATGAGTACCTTTGCCATCAGTACCAGCATGTTTCCAGACAAACCCCCGGGCGAGTCTCCTTCTTTAGCCATCTGATGGAAAAGATGCGTTTGCAATCCCTCCGATAGGACTCCTCTATCAACCAGAGTAATCAGCACGTCAAAGGAGCATTTCTGAAGCTCTGCCAGCAAGTCTAGACTGCCTTCTAGTTCCTGGTCGTCTACCCGAGCCTGCTTTCCAGTGTGAGATCGATGTATCTCCAATAGCTCATCAAGATGACAAGTTGATAGATGAGCCCGAACCACCTCGAACGTAGGCTTGTGCCATTCCGAGGAGAGTATAAAGTCCCTTATGAAGCACAAAAGGTGAGATGACGCCTGGAGAAGAGCGTTATGCATTCCGTCAGCTTTCCTGGGAGCTGGAGCAGTCTGCACTGTTTCTTCCGAGTTGACCGAATGCCTTCCCGATTCTGAAAACAAATCCCCAAACAGAGCATCGTCTTCACTTGCCACAGTCAAGGAATCCATGGAAACGGTTGCCGAGTCCTCCTCACTGTGGATCGACGAAGGCATCTCCAGAACGGGCTTCAACTTCACACCTTGGACTTGAAGAATAGCTGCTGCTGCAAAGAGGTCGTTAAGCCACTCGCCACTCGACGGAAAGATGGTCTCCAGATGTTCCGACCTGCTTCTTGCTTGATTCAGTCTGAAGTCCTGTGATCTAAACTCTATCGAGCCTACCAGCTCCTCCGCTGGCACTTTTCCCCCATACCGCCCTTCCGAAACATGAAACTGGTCAGCTTGCAAAAGCCGCAAGACGTAGCTCACGAGCTGCGGCGTACAATCTGTGTCCTGTCGTAGTTTCACTCCGTTCATTTCCTCGAGAATGGACGCTGCCAGAAAGGTCCTCACGTTCTGAGATATAACATGATCCGGGAAAAAACTCTCGCAGAAAACCAGTAACGCGTCCATCAGCAAAGGCAAGGACGTAGCCCCTTCCTGAACGTCGTCGACATCAAAAAACCGGTTATCCCTGGTGCCGCTCTTTAGTATGTCCCGCAGAGCGGATGCGAATCTAACCACCTCTGTAACAGTCCCTTGAACAGAAGCCCGGTGTCGTGAGAGCCTTGCCAAGTTCCCCAGAAAGCTAAAAACCTCCGTAGCAAAAGATAGCCCGTCCCCGTCTAAATCTACAACCAGACCTGTGCACAGTGCCGAAAGACGCTGGAAACAACCCAAGCTGACGATCGAATGCTGCTGCGTGACATCTACTAAGTTCTGCCCCCGCCTGCTTAGTAGCTCCTTGTCTATCTCACTTCCACTCCTCAAACTGTCACGGACAAGCTGGTCATTAGATAAAACGGCCAAGATGTTTTGAGACCACCCGGTGCCTTCGTCTTGGTTGATATGTACATCTACAAAGAGCAAAAAGTTTACGCATTGAAGGCACACACAGAAATGCTTACCCCGATCACCGTGATGGCTATCGTGCTTATTTACAGACACCAGCAAACTGATCATAAGATCCGGTGGAACTCCAGCCGAAGAAAAATGCGGTAGCCTCTCAGCTTTTCCATCCAAAGTCACAGCCTCCAAGAGCTGCAAGAGCTTTTGCTGCATCTGGAAACGCGATTGAATCGACGTGAGCAAAAGAGATTGCAAAGTTACCGCCTCATCCGATCGAAACGAAGGAGTTTCGAGACTTTGAATGCAGAGCTCCGCAGTGAGGAAAAAAATCCGCTGTAGAGAAGAATACTGTCCTTCCTCTGTCACAGAGCTGGAAATAAGAACCCTAATCAAGCTCACGAGAGCTAGCTAAGCTCACCTGATGCTAGATCCCAGGACGAGGCAACGACAGCGCTGAGGATTCCCAGGAGCTGCTCCAGCTGCTGGCTGCTCCACTGCGCAATGCCGGAATCTCCATCGCCGTTTCGGTTAACCGCCTCCAAAGCCGTGGCAAGCTGATCCAACCCTTGCTGGACTCCCGGATCCCGCAGGCTCTGCGACAGGCAGCGGTCGCCAAGCACCTCCAAGAGCTTGCGCTGCGCCTCCGCCGCTTCCTCCATGGCACGCCGCCGCCGCTAGCAAATCCTCTGCCTCGTTCCTCCCCGCCAAAACCCTAGAAAACCTCGCGGCATCGCGGATTCTCTCCAGCTGAAGACCTAGGGCATTCGTCCCAGCGCCTCGATCCACACAGGCGAGAGATTCCCATAAAATATTTCTCTCCCAATGTCGGCCAAACAGACAAATGCCATGTAAGATCGTTTTGAAATAATGCCATGGTGCTTTCTTTCCTAATAGTTTAGGGTTCTTGCTATGGCGCTCACTAGCGCGTCCACGAGAGCGCCATACGCGCTCAATGCGGCATTTCCAGGCGCGCGCCAGCTCCAGGTAAGCTCGAATCGCGTTTCGATTTCACCCGATTTCACCGAAAATCCATTGCCAGGTGCTGAGAATGCCGAATTTCGCGAAGTCGCGGCAGTGCCGGCTCTCCGTGCGAGCAAGAACAGCGTCATCGTCCTCTCCCTTTCCAAGACCGGCCGAATCTCAATCGGGTAAGCAATGCGATTCATCGAACGATTGGTTTTAGCTTTGCTCCTCCAATGCCAGGGAAATTCAACGATCTTCTCGCGGATATCTTTCGCATGACTGTTGATACCGGGCCTCGAGGCGTCCTTCGTTTGGCTCAAGCCGTGGAAGCCGTCGTCTCCATTGGAGCACAGTGGTTTGTGGAGCAAGCTCAAGTATACTCGTTTGCTCCCTCGCTCCAGATTTTCGTGCTTAGTTTCGTGCGAAAATTGTGACCAGGGTGGATCCACACTAAGCAGCTCTCCACCTCGGCTCTTGAGACGCCTCTTTGAGAGGCTCGGTGCTACTTACATAAAATTGGGCCAGGTAGTGTTCGTATCTCTTTTCTTTCTTTCTTTCTTTCTTTTTTTTTCTCTCTTCTTTGGTTTGTGTTTCTGACTCTTAATTTTTCTCTGACAGTTTATCGCATCGTCTCCATCGTTGTTTCCCGACGAGTACGTGAACGAGTTTCAAAGTTGCCTCGATCGCACTCCGGCTATACCTTTTGCTGATGTCAAAGCTATCATTCAGGAAGACCTGGGACGCTCTCTGGATGATGTTTATGAGTATGTGGATAGCGCTCCTCTTGCCTCGGCGTCTATTGCTCAGGTGAATGCTTTTTTTATGTTTTTCTTTTGAGTTTCGTATGTTTATTTTTTTTTCCTCGAGCTTAGGTACATGCTGCACGGCTGAAGGGAAGCAAGAAAGATGTTGTTATCAAGGTACTAAAGCCTGGAGTAGTGGATGTGCTGAGAGCAGATTTAAACTTTTTGTACGTTGCCGCGCGTGTTTTGGAGTTTCTCAATCCACAAATAAGTCGAACATCTTTGGTAAGCTGTTTTGTCTTCGTTTTCCCTGTTACAAGGGTCACTTCTTTCAGGTATCCGTTATAGGTGATTTGAGAACATCGATTATGGAAGAGGCGGACTTCCAAAAGGAAGCTGTCAACGTTGAATCGTTTCGAACGTATCTAGAAACCATGAACCTTTTCAAACAAGCAACTGCACCAGTTGTGTATCGCCATTGTAGCACTCGGCGAGTGCTGACGATGGAGCGTTTGTATGGGGTACCTTTAACAGATCTAAAGTCCATCAGCTCAATTGTTCCAAATCCGGAAGCAACGTTGATCACTGCCTTAAATGTCTGGTAAGTCTTGCTTTAGGTCTTTGACTTAACTACTTAGTTTGTCTGTAGGTTTGGAAGTTTACTTGGCTGCGAGACATTTCATGCAGACGTGCATGCGGGCAACCTTTTGGTGCTTCGGGATGGTCGAATCGGTTTTATTGATTTCGGTAACTTATACATGTTTTGAGCCACTGTAGCTTATGTCTTGTATCTGCCGCAGGAATTGTTGGCCGCGTTTCTCCTAAGACGTGGGTAGCCGTAGAAACGTTTTTGGCTTCCTTTGGAACCGGGGATTACTATGCAATGGCAACTGCACTTAATCAAATGGGTGCTACAGACAAGAAGGTGGATTTACTTCGTTTTTCTAAAGATTTGGAGAAGATTTTTAGTGCTGTTAAGGTATGTAATGAAAAGAATTTTAAAATGATGCACCGACACCCGTTAGCGACATAGGATTTGGACTCGGACATTCGCATCACAACTGCTGGTGGACCACAAGGAGCTACTGTTGCTGCTACTTTGGCTGTTGATGAGCGACAAATAAACGCTTTGCTTCTTGATGTGGTATGTTTCTGATTATTTCTGATTACTCTTAAGACACCAGTACATTCTGCTATATCCTTGAAACAGTTTCGCTTAAGTGAGGCTTATGGATTGAGGTTCCCACGCGAGTTCGGTCTTCTACTCAAACAACTATTGTATTTTGATCGGTATACTCGCCTTCTCGCACCCGACCTGAAGGTCCTTCAGGACGAGCGAGTTATTATTGGAAAGACGGATAGAAGATACAGCTACTGAATCCCGAAAAGCTATAGACAAGTAAGCCACAGCTTTATTGTTCGCAAAAGCTTAAATCACACTTAACATGTTTCTAGCTGTTCACCACACGGCAGTTCTTGCGAATCTGACCGCTTTTTCCAGTTAGAGGACTCAGGTTTCCCATCTTCACCATGGCATTCGCGAAGTCCCTGAAGAATAGGCTCGGGTTGTCTTCGTAGTTGGAGACAATTCTGCTTGACGATCCTGAAGGTGCGTACAGCACTTGATCGGAGTTGAGAAGACCCTCGTTGGCAACAATGTTACTAAAGTACGCATTGTCAAAGCCGGTGGGGGTCTGGAAATCTAGTGGAGAAGTATTGTTGTCACCTCCTGAACGTGGGCATTTTCTTTGCAGGGTCTTCAAGTATCCTTGGTTGAAATTTGAATCCGGCCTGGCGGTGTTGCTGAAATTATACAGACGATCCTTAAAGCTTGTGCAACGAGCTTGTCCGATGGTGTGACTTCCAGAGAGTGCGACTAGCTCTTGCACAGAAAGTCCCTTGGCCTGGAACTTGGAAATAAGCTGGGAAAGGGTGGAGGTTGGAGGCGGTATATCGTTGTTAGAGGCGGCCAAGCTCGCGGTCGTGCTATCCCGACGTCCCAACAGTATTGTCCAAGATGGTCCATTCATCTGTTACAAGAATCTCGTCAGCTCATTTCTTTCAAGCTCGAGCAACCGGGTTCTTACCAAGACAACGCTTTGTTCAGCTATAATCGCTAGAATATCGGCGCAAGATACAACTCCAGGACAGACTCTCTCAACCGCTGCTTTCACGCTGTCCACCACCTCGAATCCTCTCGCCGAGTTCCTGTTCGGGTTGGAAGTTTTTTCGCCTCGAAATCCCGGCTTGTCGTCGAGGAGGACAGATCCATCGCATCCCTGGCAGAACATACAGTGTTTCAGCTTGCAAGACGGTCACATCGACTTACATTGACAAAACAGTCGTGGAAATGGAGACGCAGAAGCGAGGCAGCCATGCGTGGTTCCCTCTGAACAGCTCTCTCAAGTACACTTCTCACAGTTGATAACAGCTTCGGACACGACGAGTCATAGAAGGTGGGGCTCAGCTGAGCAGCGGCTGAGACAAGGCAGATGCAAAGAACAAACACAAACTTCATTTTTCTTTGCTCGAGAACGCACAAGGACGGATCGAGAAGTCGTGGCCTTTTATACTGGAAAGGTGCGTAGAAAGACCGACGGGGAAGGCCAGTGGGAGAACTAATCGACAAAGTTTCCTGGTAGCTTGTTACTACTGGTCGGTGAATCTCTTGACTTGGTGCAAAGAGCATGCCACTGTTAAGACGCTATGATCGAGAACAGGTACACATACATGGTCAAGGTTGGTAGGCTTTCAGTGGATTGAAAGTTTCAAAGTCTGGTTTTTTTGCAGGTACGCATGACAAATGTTCATGATGTGATTGGCATTCTGCGGCTCGCGTCAGTCGCAACTTTACAAGCAAAATGATTTGACACCGATGCTTTTTCGAGGTAACTTTTAATATTTCTTGTTTTAGCTTCAGACAATATGATGGCTACAGTGCAGGCATGTCTGCTGTAGTGCTATAACGGAAAGGAAATTCAGAAAGCGAAGCACAGCCTTTTGGTATGTGAAATTATTTCATTTGACTTGTCTCTTTGAGGAATCTCTGATGCGATTGTTGTGATAGTGTTACAAGAGTATCTCATTCTTCAGCTGTTTACGACTCGGCAGTTTTTCCGAATCTCACCGTTGGTACCAGTGAGAGGGTTCAAGTTTCCCATCTTCACCATGGAAACTGCAAAGTCATTGAAGAAACTATCCTGAGCAAAGTCGTAGGTGCTCACTAAGTTCTTGGTGCTGGCTCCGGGAGTGCTAAACAGGACCTGATCAGAGTTGAGGAGGCCCTTGCTAAACTTGAGATTGGTGAAGTAGGACGTATCGAACTCGGTCGGGGTATGCAAATCCAGGTTGAAAATGTTGTTGTCACCTCCTGACGGTGGACATCTTGCCTGCAGCTCTCTCAAGTATCCTTGGTCGAGGCTTGGATCGGGACGACCGGTGTTACTGAAGTTGTATAGCCGGTCCCTGAAGCTGGTGCAACGAGCATTTCCAATGGTATGCGAGCCCGACAGAGCGACGAGATCCTGCACGGAGAGTCCTTTCCGCTGGAAGCTGGCGATAAGCTGGGCGAGCGTGGACGTGGGAGGTGGTATATCGTTGTTAGAGCCGGATAAGCTCGCTGTGGTGCTGTCTCTACGTCCCAGGAGCACCGTCCAGGAAGGCCCGTAAGTCTGCATCTCGAAAAGTAAGCTTTCTTTTATCTCACGACACTGTTCTTACCAGTTCCACGCTTTGCTCAGCGATGATAGCGAGCACGTCGGCGCAAGACACGACTCCGGGGCAGGCGCTTTCCACCGCGGCTTTCACGTCGTCCACAACCTCAAAGCCTCTGGCGGAGTTTCTGTTCGGATTGGACGTCTTCTCGCCGGTGAAGCCCGGCTGGTCGTCGAGAAGAACAGATCCATCGCACCCCTGACAACAACATCAACAACAAAAATTAGAAACGTTTCCGCGCAGTGCCAACTTCTTCTCTTAAAGAGGTACAAAACGAAAAAGCGTTTGTTCCTTACCATGACAAAGCAGTCGTGGAAATGCAGGCGGAGGAGCGAGGCCGCCATCCTTGGCTCTCGCTCCACAGCTCTAGAGAGAACGCCTCTCACGATGGACAAGAGATTCGGGCACGAGTAAGCGTAGAAAGTGGGGCTCAGCGGGAAAGAAGAAGAAGGCGGATGGGCAGACACACAGGAAGAAAATAGCGACAGATGCAAGGCCACCAAAGTCAGCAACAGCGCACTCTCCTTGTTCGTCGACGCCGCCATTCTTCTCATACAACTCGACGAGACGTGAAAAGAAGAACGAAAGAGAACGAAACGAGATGGGTCCTTTCGAGAGTTTCAAAAGCGAGCAACTTTATAGCGGACGAGACCACGAACTTAACGGACGGGTAAATTCCAAGATGGATTGACACGGTCTCGATTATACGTCAGAGCTTTTAAAGTTTCAACACCAACCAGCACTATGGAACATGATTATACCGCGGCAGCTTCGCAGGATTCTAGAAACGAAGTCCTGTTGGCATTACTCGACGCATCAATCTCTCTCTGGAACTTTGACGCGGCTAAGGTAAGCAGTCTTTCCCTTCTCTTTTTCTTCTCACTGTGGATTCTTTTGTTTCTTCTTGATAGATTCTTCCGAAATTTTCAAACTTAACTGATGCGTGTGACTGCCACCCCTTGACGTTGAGCGTCAGATCCGCAAAGAAAAATAATATCGCGGTCAATAAGACGATAATGGTTGTTCCGTTATCACCGGGAACCAGCTCTCTATCAACCGAACAAAAAGTGTTTATCAGCAAACACAGGTAAACAGTGATACCTTAAAATATTGCATACCTCTAGTGGATGTTTTTAACGTGATTTCCATCCAGGCAACTGCTGTCACTCGCTACTCTTCGACTTTCTTGTGCTCGTTCTTGAGGAAGAACACTCGGCCGGCCAGCTTCAAGGCCTCATCCAGAGGAATCACCGGGAACGAGAACGCGATCACCAAGAGCCAGTCGTTCCAATCCAGCGGCACCACTCCAAACACCTCGGCCAGCCACGGCGTGTAGAGGATCGTTCCATGCAAGCCCAGCGACACGGCGATGGCCACCAGCAGCCACTTGTTCGCCCAAGGCCGGACCTTGAGCAAGCTGTTCGTCTCGGACAGCGCGTTGAGCGCATTAAACATCTCGATCATCACGAGCGTCGACATCGCCAGCGTCGACGGCTTGAGCTTCCCGACCGTGAAGTAATCGCAGCTGGAAGCGAACGACATCACCTCGTTCCCGGCGATGGTCACTGGATTCGCGTGAAACTCCGGCCAGAGCGGGCACTCTCCCCAGTGACTTAGCTGCTGGAAGCTCACTGCCGTGTGGCCGTCCCTGGAGAGATCAATCCCGAGGAAGGAATCGTCGTTCAAGTACCACAGGCCGAAGATCCCGATGGTTGCAAGCCCAACGTAGAGTCCGATCGTGAGGAACCGGAAGAGCGTCCAGCCGCTGATGAAGCCTTCGGTTGGAAGCCGCGGGGGCCTGTCCATGATATCGGTGTCCGGTGGATTGAATCCCAGTGCCGTGGCTGGCGCTCCGTCCGTGACGAGATTCACCCAGAGGAGCTGGACTGGGATGAGTCCTTGCGGCATTCCAAGGATGGCGGTCAGGAAGATCGCCACCACCTCCCCGATGTTGGAGGAGATGAGGTAGCGAATGAACGCTCTCATGTTGTCATAGATGGACCGGCCTTCTCGCACGGCTACCACGATCGTTGCAAAGTCATCGTCGGCTAGAACCATGTCGCTAGCTTCCTTGGCCACCTGGAAGAATCAAACACAAAGTTGATGATAGAGAGAACTTCAAAGCGATGGAAGCTACGTTACCTCTGTGCCACTCAAGCCCATGGCGATTCCAATATCGGCTAGCTTCAAGGCCGGTGCGTCGTTCACGCCATCGCCGGTCATTGCGACGATCTCGCCGCCATCCTTGAGAACCCGGACGATCTCCTGCTTGTGTATGGGCTCCGAGCGAGAGAAAACGAAGCCTTTGCTGTCGGACTTGTTGCCGAGAAGTAGCGCTCGTCTGTCACTGACTGACAGTTTCATGAAGTCCTTGCCGGTGAGTGAGTGTTCGCTCAGATCGTTCTGGCTGGAGAACAGGCCTATCTCGCAGCAAATAGCTTCGGCTGTGTTCTTGTTGTCACCAGTGATGACTATAACGCGGATACCAGCTCGCTTGCAGTCATCGATTGCCTCCTTGACTTCTGGCCGAGGAGGGTCCTGCAGCAACCCAAAATGAGAAAAGCGAGCAGCACACAAGTGGATGTATTCAGACCTGCAAGCCCGCCAATCCTACGAACGTTAGCTGACTTTCGACGAGGACGTAGCTCTCCGGCTTAACGAGTATGTTCTGCGCAGGGTGGTCCGGTCCCGTATAATCGGACAATGGACCGAGGTCGCTCTTCGAGGCAAGAGCAAGTACTCGAAGACCCTTTGACGTCATAGCATTGATGCATGAGATGATATTTTCCCGGAAGCTCGGAGTTAGTGGCACGACCGAGCCGTCTTTCAGCTGCACACTCGTGCATCTTTCCAGGACGAATTCTGCCGCTCCCTGGAATGGAAAGTTGATATAAATGATTAAGAAAGGTCAACAGAAGGGTACCTTGACTAGCAACGAGTTTCCTTCGTCCTCCTTCACAATGACACTCATCGACTTGCGTACACGGTCGAACTCGAGAGTAAAAAGTCGCTGGTTTGTCTTGCTAAAGTGAGCGCAAGCCGCTGAACATAAAAACGAAAACATGAGTATAAAGATCAGAAAAAGGCACAGTTCTTTACTTAATCCAGCTCCAACTGGATCGGCCATTCTCTTCGCCTTGAACTTTTGAAGCGACTGTTTATCTTGTACACCAAGTTTCTCCACAAGAACCTGCCCACATTTCGGCACACGTTAATGATATTACTAAGAAACAAAAGTTCTTCTTACCAGCATTGCTGCTTCCGTAGGCATTCCAGTCGCGCTGTAGCTGCCGTTTTTGAATTGGATGCCAGCATCGTTGCACAGAGCACAAATCCGAGCCAATGTCCGAAGGTTGTGGTCCAGTTCTGAAGGCAAACCAATTACGTGTCCATCGTCTGGATCATACGATGTTCCAGTAACCCGAAACGTTCTCAGTTCGTCAGGACCTTCAACGGCCAGCAGCTGCACAACTGACATCTGGTTGGTCGTCAGTGTTCCCGTCTTGTCGGAACATATCACTGTTGTGCAGCCCAGAGTTTCCACCGATGGCAGCTTTCGTACGATGGCATTCTCCTCGGCCATTCGTCTCGTTCCAAGAGCAAGACAAGTTGTGATAACAGCCGGTAGACCTTCAGGAATGGCTGCTACAGCTAACGCCACTGCAACCTTCATAACCACAGAGATGCAAAACCAGCGTCATTGAAATAATCGGGCAGGAGAATATGATAGTCTGCCAACACAGCAAGAAACCATGTTAGCTTGCACCGAACGTATGGCGTCTCGAAAGGAACCTTACCTTACCTTGAAATAGTACGTTGCCTGTCCAACGTCGAACTGTACATTCGAAGGCAGACCATTCGAAACGTCCCAGGTGAGAAAGTACTTGTAGTTCACCACCCAGACAATACCACAAATCGCAGCGACAACCTTGGTCAGAACGTCCGCAAACTCGTCCAGCTTACGAGTGAGAGGAGAGTCATAGTCTGACAAAGAAGCGTCCTGTATCTGCGTTTGAATCTTCCCAATCTCGGTAGCCATCCCAGTATCAGTAACTATACAAATGCATGATCCATTCGTCACGGTCGTCCCAGCAAAAACCATGTTGTCCTTCCCTTGAATTTCAACCTCTTCGTCACTTTCAGAATCTGGTTGCTTCAAAACCGGCTGACTTTCACCAGTGAGAGCCGCTTGCTGAAGTCTTATGGTCCCGGACTTGAGGAAGGCAACTCGCATATCAGCTGAGGCTTTATCACCCGCTCGTAGTTCCACTATATCACCCGGCACGAGTTCTCTGGCTGGAAGATCCACAATCTCCCTCCCATCTCTCAAAACTCGGGCCTCTTCTGATTGCATCTCTTTCAGAGCCTGAAGAGTGCTCTCGGCCTTGCTCTCCTGCCAGACCCCGATGACTGCGTTTAAGATGATGATGGAAAGTATCACCAGTGGCTCCGTAAAAGCTCCAGGACCAAGCTTACTCCCCGGCTCAAGCTCCGAAAAGGCCAGAGCGAAAGATACACCTGCTGCCGCAAGTAGGATCTGGACCAGAGTATCGTCGAACTGCTCGAGAACAAGCTTCCAAAACGAGGTCCCTTCCGGCTTCTGCAACTCGTTCCAGCCATACGTGGTCCTCTTCTTGTCGACGGCATCACGGTTTAATCCTTTGCTTATGTCCACGTCGAAGAAATCCGCGACAACTTCCACAGGCCTGGCCCATGCAGGATAAGGTGGACGTGACGACTCAACACTCTCGGGTTTGGAATCCTGGCAACAAAGTTTCAGTCGAAAACACACGAGAAATTCTTTCTTACATGTTTTCCAGGAAGAATTGATGGAGAACTGATTTTCTCAGCGACATCCACAGCTCCTTTCTTCGCTGGATGGTTGCAACAGCGAACGCTTCTCGGCTTCTGCATTGAAACTCTCGTTTTAAAACAAGAAAAAAGCTATGCATCTTCACAACTTACATGCTTTTCTAAAGCGACCACAGAAAAGTTCTTCTTAGAGTCATCGAGAACGCCTTCACCTCTCAATCCCTGTGACGAATTCATCAAAATCCAGCCTATGGAATGCTATATGGCAAGAATTACACTCTTTCTCGGCCCGATCCATGAAGAATTCCTCCTCGCAGCGTTTCCCTCCCACTTATCATTCGCTTCCTGCGACTTTCGAAGAAACTCCAGCGTCAATATACAATGCCGCGAGAGTAGAAGGCAAGAAATCTACCTCTATCCAAGCTCCTCGCCTGGAAATCGTCACAGCATCGCAGCGCAATCCGGCATTGCGCTCGGCAGTGGCGAAGCACGGCTCCCGGCGACGGATTAGCAGCGAATACCCCGAGTGAAGCAGCGACATTCCAGGGAAACACGATCGTGATTGCAATTGAGCGCCGCGAGAGCATCGATTCTCTCCTCGTCGCCCTAGCTGGGCTAGAAGATCACAAAAACCCTGCTGACAAACGACTAGAATTCTGCCACGTGGGACCACACGTCTTTTGCCACTTGTCACATTCTATAGTACCGCAATTTTCGAAAGCCACTCGCGCTTGTGCTTGGATTCCTCGTGATTTTTTTCTAGGGTTTTTAGCTGGGAGCGATGCTTGCTAAAAGCATAGTGCCGATCGATAGATGGAAAGCTGCGCTGGCGCCAATGTGTATGCATTTCAGTCGCCAAGCGAAATCTTCAAGCGATGGCGCAGCATTGGCATACACAACAATCTCGTCCAGGGTTTCTTCGCAGTGCGAGATCAAACGAAGTAAGTTCATCACCACAGCAGCTCCAGTGGACAACGAACAAGGCGCATTGGCATTCCTCTCCGAGGTTTAGTTTTTCAAAAAAGAAAATCGCGATCATAGCTCATTTCTTTTGTTTCTAAGGTCTCGGATCCACGCGCAACTCACAATTGCTGGGCTTACAAGGTGGTTCTTTTAGTTCGCCTTCTTCTTCTTTTTTTTGCTTGAATGTTTCATTTTCTTCCAGCTTAGATCAAAGAACGCTATCGTTTTAGCGATGATGGAGAGCCTGGAGGAACGGCAGGACGGCCAATCTATGCTGCCATAGAAAATTCTGGTGTGGATGGAGTTATGGTCGTTGTCACGAGGTACCTATCATCGTTTTTCCAAACGAAAGAACAAAGGCAGGCTAATTGGAAATCCAGGTACTTTGGTGGAACGAAGCTTGGAACTGGAGGACTCGTTCGAGCTTATGGAGGAATCGCTGCTGACTGCCTCAAAGACGCACCGACGCACATTGTCAAAGCAAAGGTTTTCTTATGTAGTTTGGTGTTGTCTCCTGACTTGCATCGAGTTTGTAGATCTCCCTGGTTCTCAAGTTTGGGTTTGATCATCTTGGAGCTGTGTACCCTCTTGTAAGCTTTGGTGTTATTAGTTTTGTTCTTTCTGTCTTGATGGGCGATGAATCCAGCTTCAGCTTCACGGAGCCGAGAACATTAAAGAAAGCTATGACGAAGATGATGAAAGTAGCAGCGTAGAAATCCAACTCTCGCTCGATGCTGGTAGAGCTGACGAACTTGAAAGCTCTCTCACCAATGCATGCAGAGGAGGCATCACAATTCAACGAGCAACAACCAACTCCTAGAGTAAAAGGTTATTTTTCTCTCCTTTAACTTAAGCTTTAGAGCTAACTAGATTTCTGCTTCTCCTTTTAATTCTTCCTGCTGAAGCTTAGCGCTGGAGCTTCAAACATACTTACTCTCCTGGCTACCAGCCGCAGACGTAGCATGGTCCAAGCTGGTATGCAAGGGCTCGCATGCTGGATGATCCAAGTTTCAGGCTCCTGCGGAGGCAAAATGGTCACTCGACCGTCTTGTTGCTTCACGAATGACTTGATGAACCCACTCGCTACTTGCAATATCATCTTCCAGCAGCTTCGGTAGTACTTTTGTACTGCATTTCCTTGAAATAACAACGTCGCTCTTTTGCAGAAAGAAACCAGTCATGAAAGAGCTGCCAGATTCTTGGGAGTCTCGGTTTGCACCCGAAGCTTCTGTGCCATATCTTTCTCATGGCGGCCTCGTCTTATGCCGGTTTCGAATCCACTGACGCAGCAATGGGTCCTATCGACAGTTCTATCGACAACTGCACACAGGTGCTGGCGACGATATGTCAGTGACGGCAAGCAATTCTTCCGGATCTGGATCTCCCCGTACCTGTTTGACTCGAGGCTGGGTATTAGGACACTTTCTTGCTACCAAACCGTTTGCCTGACATCTCTCAACACGGTGTTCATCAGAGGTTTGCAGTACGATCTCGGTTACTTCTCGCACCACTCCGCACTTGTGCTACTCCAGATCGCTAAACTCCAGTGGCGGAGTTTAGCGGATCCAAATGGAGTTTAGTGGAGTGCTGTGGATAGCTCTTTGACATGCTGTGGGATACATGATTCTAAGGCTGTGGTCGCGGTGCTGGACAGAGAAAAACAACCATGGACGTGGAAAGAGGTGGCAACTTTAGAGGGCAACTTTCACAGCTGGGACTTTCGCAAGTGCTGTACGCATGGAAGCCTTACGTTTGCGGTTCTGTCGATGGGAGTGGCTTGAGGAGGCTTGGAACATGTTGTGTCCGTGGATATTTTGGGACTCACGGGAGTAAAACGCTACCTCCAGATACTTCACTTGCAGTTCGTACCATCAAAAAGCGAACTCACTCGGACGGGCAGCTGTCCGAACTAGCAGTGTAGTTATAGATGAGCTTCATATGGTATGTATACTGATATCCCAATATCTTTCTTATAACAGTCTAGTGCAGGTTGGAGATAAAGAGAGAGGTTATTTGCTAGAACTAAGCTACGATATGCGGCCGGTAAAGGTGACTATGAAAGCAGCAGCCCGACGGCCCCACGAGCTTGCAAATTATAGGAATGAGTGCAACGATGCCTAATGTAGCAGCCGTTGCATCATGGCTTCAGGTATTGCAATCTTTTATTCAAGTCTTACAGACCATGATGATAATTTGCAGGCTGCATTTTATGAGACTAACTTTCGGTTCCTTTAGACGAACACATTGAAGTCATTTACGATACTAGTATGAATACTGTTCGTGCTCTAAAAGTAGGCTCTGAACTTAGCGGCAAGGATCCAGATCACATCGTCCATCTGTGCCATGAGGTTACTTTTGTGTTTTGACAAAGACCTTTCATAGGTCTTACTGATTTCAGTTTGTGCTCTTTGTTGTCTAGGTGGTTAGTAAGGCCATTCTGTGCTTTTGTTTTGTTCAAGTCGTCATGCCTGCGAAACCACTGCCCGACGAGATACAAGCAAATGGCTGGGAGAGCAGGAAGAGCAGGGATACACACGCATGGCGAGAGTGTAAAACTTCTCTCGTTTATGTATTCTGAAATTTGCCGAATGTTGGTTTTGCAGATATTAATCTATAAAAGTGAGGAGCTTCCCATTCTGAAAGAAGGTTGTCAACCGTTGCAGTCATGTCTCGCCGAGGAAAAGAATGGAATGATGAGAGCTCGTTTTGGAGGTACCCTTCTCAACTCTACACAGCCTTTTGATGACGTCGTGAAGTCTGCTCAAGATTCTTTTCTGTGCCACAAGCGACTGATAGAGTGGGATCAGGAGTTACAGATCTACAAAATAACTACATTAGGAAAAGCAGCGTTTGGCAGTTCGCTCAGCCCGGAAGAATGCTCGGTACGTTCTCGCTCGTTTTTGCTGGCAATGACGAATTTTAATTATGCAGATGCAGGTTGTCTTTGAGGATCTTGCTAAAGCCCGTGAAAGTTTTGTTTTAGCGTCAGATTTGCACCTTGTTTACGAGGTTACTCCTATTCACATGGAGCTTGAACTGGACTGGGGAGCTTACTATCAAAGATTTGTCGAATTGTCCTATGTCGATCAGGTTCTTATAGACGAAAGCTAGAAATAGACATTGTAATGCTTTCGCATTTTACAGGCAGTTGGGGTGACCGTGATGCGCATGGCTCATGGAGCACCAATGCAGGGCCATAAAAGGAGTATCGCTTTTTTGTGGCTCTTATATTGTCCAAGCTTCTTCAGGTATGTATGGTCGACCTTTGTTCCATAATACTGAAGTTTCGCCACTAGGAAGTGCCGCTAATGGACGTCTGCAGTACGTTCATGGTGCCGAGGGGCACTGTGCAAGCTCTTTCTTTGATTTTTTTACCTTTCTTTTATGTTTTCACAGGCTGCACGAGCTAGGTGTTTATACAAAGCGGGCTTACGAACAGTTGAAGCTGTAGCTGAGGCTACAATTCCTGAATTTGCAAACGCACTGTGCGATTCTTCATTCAAAGAACATGTAGGTTTGTTTCTCTTATATACCGAATGCTTTTACTCGCAAGCTTGTTGTGATAGATGCTGGTATGGATGTATGCTGCAACGGAGCAGGGAGAATTGTCCTGGATCGAGCAGAAGAGGCGCGAACAGCTGCTTTCTCGGCCTTTCAAGCTCTTGGAGCAACGATTCCCCATTCGCTGTCGCAGCCTTTATATGCCAGAGTTGAGAGGCCTCGATGGCCATATCTCCAAAGCAGGACGAGAGCAAGGCCGACGTTCATAGCACTGAAAAGGAAAACCGAGCAGTAATTATGCAAGAAAATGGTAACCATGGCCACAATGCGTTTGGAGCATTGCGGAAAAGAAGGCCAAGGACCCGATCTTGCCGCTGTCACATCAGATCTGGAAACAAGGTTTTGATACATTCCCCCCGATTTCAGGACCAGTGAATAATTCTTGTTGTGAACATCATCTTTAATTCAAAAAAGTGGTACTTCGATCTAATACTATTAATAAAGTTTACACTAAACATGGAAGTATTTGTTTTTTTTTTTTTCTATCCTGATTGTGTTGATTTTGTTGTTGATTCAATCAACCAAGAATACTACCTTGCCGATTAATTTTGAAATTAAACATATCACTCCATTTAGCTTTCTCCAATTCAATCTTCCAGAGCATCATGGATTCCTCCTTTCGCTTATCTTCTTCAGCCTGGAGATCCTGTTCAAGCTCGAGAGCAAAATAAATGTCCCCCTCCATTGCCTCTGCCTGCTCCTCCTGAGAATCCCCCTCAAGCACAAGATCCTCATTGTCCACATTCCTTTGGAGGATTTGGCTCGTTTCCCCATTGCCAATTTGAATTTCTGCCAAGCCCTCCTTGTGTTGTGGCTGCACCAAAACCTCCTCAAGCACGAGATTTAGCATCTCCTCATCATCCACATCCTCGAGATTTGACGACAGAATTTCAGTCATCTCTTTGTCACTCACTATAATTTCCGCCACCTCAGGGAACACAAGAGGGATGTCTTCCTCCTCATTTGGGACTTCATTCTCCTCGACCAGTGCCATGATTCTAGCCACCTCCAGGTCATCCATGTCAAAATCTTCCATGTCCTGGATCACCGCCCCAGCTTTATCGGCCTGTTGACCACTCTGCTTCGCTTGACTTTCGTGGACCAGCGAACCCTTCTTCCTCTCGTCTTCAAATGGAGCGCGCTTGAGCTTCTTCTTCTCATGTGCCATGCCAACTTCCCCAGTGCTGCTTGATCTTGGCCGCTTCATGTAGGTTGGTCTTGTTTTTCCGCCATAAGTGAATTTTTTCTTGCACTGACTGCAGCGATACCTTGGCTGGCCAATGTTGTCGTTATTGAAGTAGTCGAAGTTGCCGCACTCACTGCGATTGCACTTCATACAGGTCGGGTGCTGCTGTTTCAAGTACGATTTCAGCTCACCCACGCTTCCAAACTGGAGGTTACTCTGCTGGGAGGACGAAGACCAAAACAGTGGGTAGTTCTGGAGAAGATGGAGCTCCTTGTACACCTTGCTGCTTTTGTTTGGCATCGCTGCTGGCTTCTCTGCTGAAAGGACAACAAGTGAAAACCTAAAATATGTCCTTTTTTACAAGCTTAAGGGATGAAATGTATGTTTAAAGTTTTGGGTAAAGGGAGTTTTATTAAACATCGTTTAATTTCCACCCGAGTCCGGTTGCTTCCTTTTGTGCGACCTTCTCAGGCATCCCAAAATTTAGCGCATGACTGTTGCGGAGTTTTTGGAACGGAGTGGAGGCTCCACGCTTGTTGATGTAAGCTGGTGCCTTAGAAGGAGGCTTTCTTCAAGGTACTTAATTCTTCCACCTAGATTTTCTTGTTTTTCATGTTGCGGGCTGTCGGAAATATGTATCAACAGTTGTCTGAGGAACTTAGCTGGATCAAGGTTGAAAAGGAGTTGCTTCATCAGAGCAGGAGGTAAATCGAAGCTGCTTAAGGCAGACTTTCCTTTTGTGATTCAGTTTAAAACACTTGACTTGAGAGCAGGACTGACTTGAAAGATGGCTTACCAGCCGGGACCTGCAAATACATGCTGCGCAGGTGCAAACTTTGTCATCGAGCAGGCAATGAAATGACAAGCTTTACAAGCATGACGGTAGTCTCCTCAGTTCGTGAGTGCAAATGCTTTTATTTTTTGTTGTTCTCCCCATACAAGGCCCGATTTCAAGCTACAATCCCAAGCAATTCTAATCTTAGCCTTGATCGTGTCACAATGGTCTCCTCCACACAGGAAATCCCACCATGATCGCCAAGAATATTTTCCTCTTTAGAACATGATGCCAAGCTAAATCGATGGATTCCTGGACGGCATGATAGACAGGACCAAGAAGAGCATGACCCATGCGTGCACCTAGAGGAAGAGGTCAATGGATCCTTCAATCTGGTCGGAGCTCATCAACTCCCAATCCCCATGCTCTGCCGCTTCGGGTCCCTCTCGAATGATTGGTATAGCGCGCGACACACCTAGCTGCGTCGGGAACACCATGTCGTAAGAAAGCTGCTTGGCTCATGTACAGCGCTGAAAAAACAAAAACCAAGTGTGAAGAGCTTAGAAAACGTACAGTTGAGAACGCACGGCAATGACTTGTCAAGACGTTGTCAAAACTCCTTCGAAGGTAGCACCTTGTCCAAGTACGTGTGTACACTGAGAAACAAACCAGAGCTGAGTTAGCTTCCAAAGAAGTCACACGAACCTGGTCAAGTAGCAAATCGTGAAAGAGAAAAGTGGATCATCGGCATGCATGGGAGCTTTCAAAGTGGCCACCGTTCCTGCCAGGTTTGCGTCTCACCTCGCACCACTGCAACGACAATGTAAATAACTAATCGATGCAAACCTCTTCACTATCTGCATATCGAGCAGCGCTAAGTCGAAAGAGAAAGAAAAAAGAAGAAAAACTCACCGCGAGCTGAGATCAATCGCCTGCAAGCGAGCAATGTTTCCAACAACACAGCGAATTTCTATAAATTGCTGGATAGAGAAACACGAGCTGAATCAAAAGAACAATCGACGAGCGACTGTAACAACTAACATACTCACCAGCCATAGGATAGCCTGGTTTCTCTCCTTAGAGTCGAGCGAGTAAAATTGTGCGTCTTTTTCCTCCAATACTGCCGGAGTTCCCAGTTTTCATCTAACGCCGGTGGACATGCTACAAGGACAAACACATCACACTACTCCAAGAGAGTTACCTCAGGAATGTTTACAAGCTTTGCAGGATTTGGCTTCCCGACGGCAAGAGTGTATGACTTTTTTCTTGCGCTCTTCACCATTTTCTTTACATTCCGTATAGCTCCGGCTGCGAGGAAGTCCAGGTGTTAGAGAAATGCCGACCAACATCGAGTGTTATGCCGACAATGTTTGCATCCTTTGGTACGCTCGATTAAATAGTACCTGGAACCAAAGTCGAGGAACTTTACTGGTTGCCAAACTCTTCGATGCAATCGTCTAGATCTCAAGTTCTAGAAATCATTCAAAGGTATCTATCTACCTGCATATTCCGATGATCGCAAACCACAGTACTCCAGGCTCCGTAAGAATGCATTTCGTTCGCCTGGCTGATTGAAACACACCACTGTCAGAGCTACAAAGGAAAGAAATTCATGAACTCCAGGGATGAATTGGATATGCCACAACGATTTCCTTGGGAAAATTCCAGCGGAAATCGCTTCTCTTGAGCAGCACAGGCTGCGGCATTTCGACAATCAGGAATCCTCCGCGCTCTGGATGGAAATCGCCTGTGCTGTAGCGGCGGCAGTCCCTAATCCAGAATCCGAGCTGAGAGAGGAGTATCGGAGATGCGCGGCATACGTTCAGCGTACTGGCGCGTGGTAACGCCAGTGCTCAGCCTCGCCATAGCCTGGAACCCTAAATTTCCATTCCTTTAGCCCGTTAAACCCTAAACCCAAACAGGATAGATAACTTAACTTTAATAAAAAGTGTTACGCTTTAATACAAAAGACAATGCTGGCCTGGGACTCTCTTGGACATCCTGCGAGAAAGAGGCAAAAAGAAAAGAAGAAGAAGCGTGAGATAGCCGATCAAATGAGAGTGTACTTACATTGCCCTATCGCTTCCCTCTGCCCTTGAGGCCTCCTTCATAGCGATCGAAGCTCCAAAATCCCAGGAGCTCAAAACAAAGTAGTGCCAGAGAGATCTCTTGCAAGAGCCCAGCGAGCTCAAAGTCCCTGCCTTTCTAGCTCAAGCATCCAATTCCTGCTTTCTCGGCCTTTCAAGCTCTTGGAGCAATGATTCTGCATTCGCTGTCACAGTCTTTATATGCCAGAGTTGAGAGGCCTCAGGCTGAGACGGACGAGATGGCCATATGTATAGATCGCCAATGTATATGACTGAAACAATGTATATGCATTTCAGTTGCCAGGGAGGAGCGAAATCTTGGAGCGATCGGCATACACAGCAATCTCGTCCAGTGCAAGATGAAACGAAGTAAGTTCATCGCCACGGCCGCTCTGGACAGTGGACGATGAATAAGGCGCATTGACACTTCTCTCCCAGGTCTAGTTTTGCAAAGAAGAAAATTGCAATCCTAGCTCATTCCTTTGTTTGCAAGGTCTTGGATCCACAGGCAACTCACGAGTGCTGGGCTTACAAGGTGGTTCATTTATTTCGCCTTGTTTGCTTGAATGTTTCATTTTCTTCCAGCTTAGATCAAAGAACGCTATCGTTTTAGCGATGGTGGAGAGCCTGGAGGAACGGCAGGACGGCCAATCTAGGCTGCCAGAGGAAATTCTGGTGTGGATGGAGTTATGGTCGTTGTCACGAGGTACCTATCATCGTTTTTCCAAACGAAAGAACAAAAACTAATTGGAAATCCAGGTACTTTGGTGGAACGAAGCTTTCGTTCGAGCTTATGGAGGAATCGCTGCTGACTGCCTCAAAGACGCACGGACGCACATTGTCAAAGCAAAGGTTTTCTTATGTAGTTTGGTGTTGTCTACTGACTTGCATCGAGTGTGTAGATCTACCTGGTTCTCAAGCCTGGCTTTGATCATCTTGGAGATGTGTACCCTCTCCGAAGCATTGGTGTTATTAGTTTCGATCTTTATGTCTTCATGGGCAACGAATCCAGCTTCAGCTTCAGCTTGCACAAGTCTGGCATCAAAAGAGGAGGCTGTGCGACTTTCGGGGAAACGTGAAGGAAAAGTTCGCTCACTGGAGAGAGGAATGGCTATACACGCCGAAGCTGCTAAAGGTGGTCTCGAGTTGGAGTATTTGGTCGCAAACACGCTGGTGGATTCTACGTCAAATGTGGGAGCTCGGCAGATGCTCGCAGAGTTTTTGACAAGATGCCACTGCACGATGTCGTGTCCTGGACGGCGCTGGTGCTGGGCTACGCGGGAAACGGTGAAGGCCAGGTGGCCTTGGATCTCTTAGAGGACATGCAACGTCGGGGCTGTACACCGAATGCTTAAGCTCACTACTTTCAGTGCATTGTTAGAGGGACAAGAAAGCAAACGAGAAGAAATCCTGGCGATCTGTCTCCAGTAAGTGACGATGATCTTTTTCCTTTCATTCTTTTTTGCTGATGCCTGTGTTTTGTTTCAGTGGTGTTTCCCCGACAAAAAAGGTAGCAGCTACCTCTAGAGATGTTTTGCAAGAGAAGAGCGAGAAGATGGACGTCTCTCCAAGCAAAGCTTTGAGAAGCGAGATGGCGATTCCTCTCGGTGCAACGACGGCTGAAATGGTTGAAGTGGCTGACAGAAAATTACCGCCCTTTCAGCACAGTGCGAAGAAGCTACCATGCACTCCTCATGCAAGCGCTGGAAATGGTGGCGATCCCACTCCGAACTGGCTACTCGACAACAAGTATGTATCACCAGTAGATAGCTTCTGGGACGAGGCAATACGCGTCCTTGGGAGCAAGAAGGGTTGACGGCCCGAATTTATTGAACTCTCCGACTTTGCGAGTCATGACAACGTTGGCAAAGAAGCTGTTGCAGCTCCCACTGAAGAATCCGTCGTCCTCAGTCTCCGGTGAGAAGTTGTCCGATTGGCTTCCGGCTGAATTATGTGAAGGATACTTTCGGAAAGGGGTTAGAAGACTGTATCAATGGCAGGTAAGCCAACTGTTTGTGATTTTAGTGCCTACTTACAAGAAACTACAGGTTGATTGTCTACGCCTTGATGGAGTTTTGGATGGTAAAAGTCTTGTTTACTGTGCCTCAACAAGGTGCTTGAGATTTCTTATTTAGTTTTCTTTTATGGTAATCCTTAAAACTTTTTGACAGTGCAGGAAAGAGTCTTGTTGCAGAAATTTTGATGTTAAAAAGAGTGGTGGCGACAGGGAAAATGGCAATGCTGGTTTTACCATATGTCGCGTTGTGTTCTGAGAAGGTATGCTTGGTTTTGTTTTGTCAAAAACGTCAACTGGTTTTTACTTTGCTAGACAGAGCATTTAGAGGCGGTACTGGAACATGTTGTGTCCGTGGATATTTTGGGACTCACGGGAGTAAAGCGCTACCTCCAGATACTTCACTTGCAGTTCGTAGCATCAAAAAGCGAACTCACTCATCAATAAGGTGGTAGAGGACGGGCGGCTGTCCGAACTAGCAGTCGTAGTTATAGATGAGGTTCATATGGTATGTATACTGACTTCCCAATATCTTTCTTATAACAGTCTGGTGCAGGTTGGAGATAAAGAGAGAGGTTATTTGCTAGAACTAAGCTACGATATGGGGCCGGTAAAGGTGACTATGAAAGCAGCAGCCCCACGAGGTTGCAAATTATAGGAATGAGTGCAGCGATGCCTAATGTAGCAGCCGTTGCATCATGGCTTCAGGTATTGCAATCTTTTATTCAAGTCTTACAGACCATGATGATAATTTGCAGGCTGCATTTTATGAGACTAACTTTCGCCTGGTCCCTTTAGACGACTAGTATGAATACTGTTCGTGCTCTAAAAGCAGGCTCTGAACTTAGCGGCAAGGATCCAGATCACATCGTCCATCTGTGCCATGAGGTTACTTTTGTGTTTTGACAAAGACCTTTCATAGGTCTTACTGATTTCAGTTTGTGCTCTTTGTTGTCTAGGTGGTGTGGTTAGTAAGGCCATTCTGTGCTTTTGTTTTGTTCAAGTCGTCATGCCTGCGAAACCACTGCCCGACGAGATACAGGCAAATGGCTGGGAGAGCAGGAAGAGCAGGGATAGACACGCATGGCGAGAGTGTAAGACTTGTCTCGTTTATGTATTCTGAAATTTGCCGAATGTTGGTTTTGCAGATATTAATCTGTAAAAGTGAGGAGCTTCCCGTTCTGAAAGAAGGTTGTCAACCGTTGCAGTCATGTCTCGCCGAGGAAAAGAATGGAATGATGAGAGCTCGTTTTGGAGGTACCCTTCTCAACTCTACACAGCCTTTTGATGACGTCGTGAAGTCTGCTCAAGATTCTTTTCTGTGCCACAAGCGACTGATAGAGTGGGATCAGGAGTTACAGATCTAAAAAAATAACTCCATTAGGAAAAGCAGCGTTTGGCAGTTCGCTGAGGCTACAATTCCTGAATTTGCAAACGCACTGTGCGATTCTTCATTCAAAGAACATGTAGGTTTGTTTCTCTTATATACCGAATGCTTTTACTCGCAAGCTTGTTGTGATAGATGCTGGTATGGATGTATGCTGCAACGGAGCAGGGAGAATTGTCCTGGATCGAGCAGAAGAGACGCGCATAGCTGCTTTCTCGGCCTTTCAAGCTCTTGGAGCAACGATTCCCCATTCGCTGTCGCAGTCTTTATATGCCAGAGTTGAGAGGCCTCGATGGCCATATCTCCAAAGCAGGACAAGAGCAAGGCCGACGTTCATAGCACTGACAAGGAAAACCGAGCAGTAATTATGCAAGAAAATGGTAACCATGGCCCCAATGCGTTTGGAGCATTGCGGAAAAGAAGGCCAAGGACCCGATCCTGCCGCTGTCACATCAGATCTGGAAACAAGGTTTTGATACATGCCCCCCGATTTCAGGACCAGTGAAAAATTCTTGTTGTGAACATCATCTTTAATTCAAAAAAGTGGTATTTCGATCTAATACTATTAATAAATTTTACACTAAACATGGAAGTATTTGTTTTTTTTTTTTTCTATCCTGATTGTGTTGATTTTGTTGTTGATTCAATCAACCAAGAATACTACCTTGCGGATTAGTTTTGAAATTAAACATATCACTCCATTTAGCTTTCTCCAATTCAATCTTCCAGAGCATCATGGATTCCTCCTTTCGCTTATCTTCTTCGGCCTGAAGATCCTGTTCAAGCTCGAGAGCAAAATAAATGTCCCCCTCCATTGCCTCTGCCTGCTCCTCCTGAGAATCCCCCTCAAGCACAAGATCCTCATTGTCCACATTCCTTTGGAGGATTTGGCTCGTTTCCCCATTGCCAATTTGAATTTCTGCCAAGCCCTCCTTGTGTTGTGGCTGCACCAAAACATCCTCAAGCACGAGATTTAGCATCTCCTCATCATCCACATCCTCGAGATTTGACGACAGAATTTCAGTCATCTCTTTGTCACTCACTACAATTTCTGCCACCTCAGGGAACACAAGAGGGATGTCTTCCTCCTCATTTGGGACTTCATTCTCCTCGACCAGTGCCATGATTCTAGCCACCTCCAGGTCATCCATGTCAAAATCTTCCATGTCCTGGATCACCGCCCCATCAGCCTGTTGACCACTCTGCTTCGCTTGACTTTCGTGGACCAGCGAACCCTTCTCCCTCTTGTCTTCAAATGGAGCGCGCTTGAGCTTCTTCTTCTCATGTGCCATGCCAGCTTCCCCAGTGCTGCTTGATCTTGGCCGCTTCATGTAGGTTGGTCTTGTTTTTCCGCTATAAGTGAATTTTTTCTTGCACTGACTGCAGCGATACCTTGGCTGGCCAATGTTGTCGTTATTGAAGTAGTCGAAGTTGCCACACTCACCACGATTGCACTTCATACAGGTCGGGTGCTGCTGTTTCAGGTACGATTTCAGCTCATCCACGCTTCCAAACTGGAGGCTACTCTGCTGGGAGGACGAAGACCAAAACAGTGGGTAGTTCTGGAGAAGATGGAGCTCTTTGTACACCTTGCTGCTTTTGTTTGGCATCGCTGCTGGCTTCTCAACAAGTGAAAACCTAAAATATGTCCTTTTTTACAAGCTTAAGGGATGAAATGTGTGTTTAAAGTTTTGGGTAAAGGGAGTTTTATTAAACATCTTTTAATTTCCACCCTTATATCTATTTCTTGTGGATGCTGAGACCTGCAAAAGAAGAGCATGTATCGAAAGAAGAAAAAGCAAAGAATCTATAATGTAAAATCTTGTTGGAAAACTCGCTATCAGGATTCTTCAATAACTCGGAGACGTTGCTAACATTCGCAAAAGCATCGTTGATGAGGCTCTTGAGTCTGCTCGTGTCTGAGAAAAAGATGTATCTGGGAACTCCTCCGCAGTAGGGATATCGATCTCGCATATCCGTGATGTTCAAGCCAACTGCCTTGCCGCCGTCATCACAATCCTGCAGCGTCCAGGGCTCCATATACACGTAGATTCCCTGTTTCGCAAACTCATGGTGATTGGATTTCACGTCGGAAACGCACTGGAGAATTGGTCCCGGACTCTCAATGTAAATGGAGGCACCATCGACGATAGTCCAGGTATCCAGCTGCTCCAACTGCAACACCATAGTTCCTGCGTCAGAATATGTTGACCTGAAGGCGGATGAGCTATTCAAACTTGACACTGAAGATGTTCCTGGGGCTGCAAGGCTGCAAGGCTCAAGGTTTGAGAATCAGATGAGCTTAAAATTTTGTAAAAGGTTTTTCACTTAAGCTTATTATATTTCCGTATTTCTCTTGAGATAATCAATGAGAACTAGTCTCCATTTCTTCTTTTCGCGATGATTTGAACAAGAAAATTCGTCTTTCTGGCCAGCTTCTCTTGAAAGAAATAGGCAAAAAAGAAGAACAGTGAGAGCTAGCCGATAAAAATGATCAAATGAGTACGTATATTTCAAGACACTCCAAAATCCCAGGAGCTACATGTAGCGAGAACTTCCTAGAGAGAGAGAGAGAGAGAGAGAGAGAGAGAGAGAGAGAATGCATAGAATTCTTTGATGCTGACATCGCCGACTCAGAGAGTGGGAACAGTGGATGAACTGACGGTGAGGATTGCGCCACGAGTGTGTCAAGATTCTATATTTTCGAAAGGCACTCGCGCTTGGCTTGGATTCCTTGTCTAGGGTTTTTATAGCTGTTGCTAGATCGCCGATCGATAGAAGGACGGCGGCGCTGGCGCCAATGTATATGCATTTCAGTCGCCAGGGAGGAGCGAAATCTTGGAGCGATGGCGCAGCATCGGCATACACATCAATCTTGTCCTTGCAGTGCGAGATGAAACGAAGTAAGTTCATCGCCACGGCCACTCTGGACAGTGGACATTTCTCTCCCAGGTCTAGGCCTAGTTTTGCAAAGAAGAAAATCGCAATCTTAGCTCATTCCTTTGTTTGCAAGGTCTTGGATCCACGGGCAACTCACGAGTGCTGGGCTTACAAGGTGGTTCATTTATTTCGCCTTCTTTGCTTGAATGTTTCATTTTCTTCCAGCTTAGATCAAAGAACGCCATCGTTTTAGCAATGGTGGAGAGCCTGGAGACGGGCAATCTAGGCTGCCAGAGGAAATTCTGGTGTGGATGGAGTGGAACTGGAGGATAGTTCGAGTTAAGCTATGACAAAGACGATGAAAGTAGCAGTGTAGAAATCCAACTCTGGTCGATGCTGGTAGAGCTGACGAACTTGAGAGCTCTCTCACCAATGCATGCAGAGCCTCGAGGCATCACAATTCGATGAGCTACAACAACCAAATCCTAGAGGAAAAGGTTATTTTTCTCTCCTTTACTTATATCTAGAGCTAACTAGATTTCTGCTTCTCAATTCCAGCGGTCTGCAATGGGTAGCACGGTCCAAGCTGGTATGCAAGCACTGGGCTCGCATGCTGGATGATCCGAGTTTCAGGCTCCTGTGGAGACAAAATGGTCACTCTCAAACAAAAACCGTGTTGTTACTGCACCACCGACTTGATGAACCTACTCGGTACTTGCGATATCATCTTCCAGCTGGCCTCGGTGATACTTTTTATCCTCGTTCCTTTCCTTGAAATAACAACTTCGCTGTTTTGCAGAAATGAACCAGTCATAAAAGAGCTGCCGGATTCTTGGGAGTCTTGAAGCTGGGGGCGAGGTTGGAGTGCTGTTCACACGTAATTCTAAAGCTGCCGTCGCGGTACTGGACAGAGAAAATCACCCTTGGACATGGAAAGAGGTGGCAACTTTAGAGGGTGACTTTTGCTACTGGGACTTTCGCAAGTGCTGTACGCATGGAAATCTTACGTTTGCGGTTCTGGGGAGCAGGGTCGCAGTGTTTGATTCTCGGAGCGTGACATGGGAGTGGCTTGAGGAGGGGTGCTACACAAAGTGCAGACTTGACGATCGTGCTTTAGTCGTGGAGCTTGATTTCGCGGCCGTGGCAAATGTTAACACGCCCAGCAAGGAGATGAGGGAAGCTTGTGCCAGCAAGTACCGGGGTGCATGGCTTGCACCACGTTTTTGTTCCTCATTCTCAGGTAAGTTTCTTCAATTTTGGAGTTTTCGTTTGCGTCAGATTTTGTTTTTCTGTGTCAGAGTTGACTTACTTTTCCCGAGACAGTACTGAAAAGTGTTTTTCAGGGGGACTGCTTGTAAAAGATGGCGAATATGTTTTTGAACTTCTTGGAATAGCATACTGAAAAACATTGGACTCTCTCGGTATGTATCTTGTGACAAACTGTTTGTTTGGTAGTAAGCTCAAGGTGTTCCCAGATTTTTATTTAGAGATATGTATTCCGTTCAATGTGCAACGTGAGCTCGGAAACATTAACAGGAAGCGATGAAAGCGACCATAAAGAAATCCACAAAAGGTATGTATTGTTCTGTCGGTGTTTGTAGTGCCAGATCCCTCTGATGAAAATTTTTATAATCGTGAACGACACACAGGTACTGGCTACGTATTGCAGTGACAGCAAGGTGTTATTCCAGATCTTGCGGGTCCAAACGAACCAGTTGAAGGTGGCTACAGTGCTTCATACATGCTGAAAGCTGGGGCAAAGGCTGGAGTGCTGTTTCTATACCTGCGGTCCTCGTGCTGTAGAAAGGAACACATCCTTGGACATGGAAAGTTGGGCCTCGGAGTTCATCATTTTTTCTTTTCTGTTTGTCACAGATGAAAGGATTTTGCAGACATGGCCAAGGATTGGAACTGAAGGTAATGTAATGCGGCCCGTGCTTTAAACTTACTGTGACCGTGCATCTCAGGGGACTTGTGAAAATGTGCTTGAACTTCTTTCATGGGTATGACAAGCTTTTCTTTCTTCAGTAAATTTTTTATTTTTTTACAGTGAGAAATTATAAACATGGGCTCAGAAACATCGACAGAGATACATGAAAGCGGCAACGAAGACATTTACATAACGGCAGACTCAATAACTCGGCGGTGCTTGTAGTGAGTGGCAAGTAACTCCTTTACCGTAAATCCTTTGCGATGATTACGTGACATTTCACACGGTGAACGCAGTGGTCTGAGGTGCTCCCGAGAAGAAGCCTATGGTTTTCCATCAATTTCATCAGCTTGGTATGAAGTTGAAACAAGAAGAAGATGAGCACAAACCTCTTGAGCGTTCCATGCCCGTTGTTCCCCATGACGAGAACATTCGCTTGTTCCTTTTCAACAATCTCGCAGATGTGATCTCGGGGGTCTCCAGACTTTACAATCGTCCTGACTTTCACCTTGGAACGAAGGAAGAAAGCGTAAGTAATCGAAGTTTCTTCTTGCTTGCTAGCTTCTACCTTGTGTTCTTCGCAGAGCGTCTTCCCACTTTCCAGGACTTCCACCGCGGCCTCCTCCTCTTGCATTTTGATCGCATCGATCATCTCCTGGGTCGTGATCCCTGTCCAAAGCAAGCTTATCCATCAAAGAGCAAACAGGAAAGTTTTTCTCATCTTCTAGCAATCAACTTACCGAGATTACAGTTCGCTGGAGGAACTTGCTGGGTGTGGAAGAGAACGATCTCGTCCGAATCCTCATCCCTCTCGGCTTTGCGAAAGACCAAATTCTCCAAGACCCAGTGAAGCGCTTGCGTGCTCAAGTTACTTCCATCCATGGCCACCACCACGACCTTTCCCTTACCTCTCTTTCGCCCCTCTCCATCTTTAGCCTCTCGATCATTGTGGTTAACATCATCGCCAGCTATCATCTCACCTCCATCGGCAGTGGCGTGACGATCTATTTTGCTTTCTTCCACGGCCATCTCTTCTCTTTTCCTAGGCTTTGTGAAACGCTCGCCTTTTATACGTGATTTATGTGCCAGGGGATTGGAGGCGCGTGGAAAATGGAATGTCCGCTTGGACTGTAATGCGCCCAGTGAGGTGTCCAGGCTTGGCTGGTCGCGCAAAGCAAGCCCCGAAAGACGATTCCCTAGGATATTGGCGCCAAATCATTGATTCGAATCCTAAAAGGATATACTTTTAGTGTATAGTAAACATTAGGGTTATAAAAGGTCAAATTAAAGGTCAAAGAAAGTCTTCAAGTTTGGCTACCATTGACTTTGATCTAGTTGACTAATTGGAGCAGCATATTTTTGGTGATTTCGTTCATACAAATCGAAGCACTCAAGATCAACCAAGTTCGTAACATCGTTCTCGTTTGCTAAGACCCAACCTCCAGAGAAGTAACTGCGAACGCGTAGGCCCATTCTCCAGATGAAAGCTAGTTCGTTGTTCTCATCGCATCTTTCTCGCCAGGCCGGAACCTCTTCCGGGGAGGCTCAATGCCTTGAACCGCTACTTCCCTGTCACTAGCGGCATCCTTGGGTGATTTGCGTGAAACGCTTCACCTCGTCCACACTTTGCAGGCCATAACGTTTGAACCATTTAGGGTGATAAAGGACATTCCAGAATATCTAATAGTAATGTTAAGACATGTTTAAATACTTTTTATTAGTAATTATACTTAGAATTATGTTTAGTCCTATTTAGAAATGTTTATAAAATTAATTCAGTGGTCTTTGCAGACAAGCAATGTCGGAAGCGTGTTCATCATCCCTCGAAAAGCATGCTCAACGATTTCAGTGGCCTCCTGTCAAAATCCATCTTGACCACATTGTAGAGGCCTAGAAATCGAATGCCACAAGCACCAGCACCATCGCTAGTGTCTTTTAAGCTACTCAAACACCAAAGCGTGCAGTGCAGCTATCAGAGTTTGGAGTAGCATCGATTTCGCAGCAACGCGTTTTGGATTGGAGACTGACGTCTAGCACTGTTCTCTGTTTGTTTGTTTGTGCTTTGTTTTTCCAGCTTTGGCGAATTGCAAAAACATCCCTCCATCGATTAAGCGTTAAAGAAGTTGCCGAACACGCAAAAGTGCCAAGCGCGAGACAACGCGATCCTCCAAACAAGAGTTGTGAGTTTATCGGAAACGAATCACGGGCTACTTCTCAGAAGCCCCATCTCTCCGGATCGTATCAAATACGTAGAGTTAAAAGCAGACACTTGATGAACACGTAGACCTCCTTTTCTTTTTATTGCGCAGAAAAAGGAGAAAAGGAGTTTGGATACAAATGGAATAAATGGAATATTACAAATACAAATTTTCAACGGCCACCAACCAATGAACTAATCAAAGAATCATGGGTAAAAAAAGTTTTTAATTGCTTACACAAAGAGTGTTGCATGATCACAACTTTTTATGAGAACCTTCCAAACTAGAAAAGCATCTTGTAATCCGAAGGAAAGAATTTTTGCTTAGAAAGAATTTTAAAAAGCATTTCCATGCTACCACCAATATTACTTTCTTCGAGTAGCAAACAAAAAAAGTTTAACGATTCTGCCTAGACAAGAGCGAAGCAAACTAAACAGGTGTTTCATCACAATCTCTTTGGAGGAGGCTGAAATTTGTTCTTCCTTGCTATGTACAAATTTGCCCAAGAACTTGGAAAAACTGAGAGAGGAGGGAGGAGGGAGCGATCGATCACTGGGCACTGCAGGAGCGAACGATCGATCGATGATCATGCACTGGCCATCATGAGCTTAAACTCCTCGAAATCGACGCGGCCATCGCCATTCGAGTCCACGCCCCTGATCATCCGCCCACAATCCTCCATGGTGAGATTCACCTCGCCCAAACCGACCAACACCCTGTGGAGCTCGTCCGCGGAGATGAAACCATTGCGATCCAGATCGAAGACGTAGAACGCGGCCTTTAGCTCCGCGACGCTGGCGGTGGATTGCGCGTGGAAGTGGAGGAACTCGTCCAGGCTGATGAATCCATCGCCGTCGGCGTCCACCTCCTCGACCATCTTAAGGAGCTCCTCCTCGGTGGGGGGAGGATCGTTGCCCATGGCCAGGCACTTGAGCACGGCGCCAAGCTCCGACACTGAGATTCTCCCATCGCCGTTCGCATCGAAGAGCCGGAAGACAGCCTCTAGCTCCGCCTTGATGACATTTCCACGCGAGAGAGAGGAGGAAGCGCTCCTGGGCGACGATCCGAGAGAAATTTCGGCGCTCTTGGGGAGATTTCCACTCCTGGATGGAGATGCTTGCTTCTTGGAGGAGATTTTGGGAGAGATTTTGGGAGATGGAGTGGCGGAAGAGGGGCTACCAAGCGGCGAGGAGGAGGAATCAAAGCCGGACGACGATCGCTTGGTCCGCAAGATCTTTGGCAGCTTCATCATCATGATCTTCGAGGCGCCGCGAGTGATGGGAAAGAATCCCTGGGAGAGCTGCTAGAAATAGATCGAATCCACGCGCCTTTAGGACAGCAACGAGACAAAGGAAGATCGAAGATCGCCGACAAAGAGAAAGATCGAAGAAGAGGAAGGACTGGCGACGCGCTTGGCGATTCGCAGTAGTGGATCGCAAATTTATACCAATGCGGCAGCCAAGAACGCGACCGTCGCCATTGCCCTGTTGCTTAAAACCTAAAAAACTTGGAGATTAAAAGGAAGGCCAAACGAAAAAGAATGCGAGGTTCCTCGAAACAGCAGGAGCCAATGGCATGCCGACACGATGCCGCGGTAAAAGTAAAAGTCTCTGTAACGGTTGATTTTACGGATGGACGGTGATGTATATGTGTCCCAGGCTCGAATCTCGTGGAGAGTGGGGAAAATTTATTTAGCTGGAATGTAGTCTCTCTGATTTGATCCTTCCAGAGCTCGCATTGAGCTCGTCCAAGAAGGCGGAGCTACTGGCGATCTCTTCGAATCGGCTATCTTTCGGCAGTAGCAAACAATCCAGCTGATTTTCTTTCCAAATTCATGGCGCCTCTGTGTAGATGGAGGAGCGATCACGCTACTTCCTCCATACCCGATTGACGAGGTATTTATTCTCTATCAAACATTCGCAGCATTCTTCTATTCATTTTAGAACCATGACATATTTGTCCTCTTTACAGACTAACTTTGATGAAGAGCTCGACAAGCAGGGAAGAAATCTATTCCAGAATGGAGCGTCAACGTTAGCAGGAAAGAAATCTATTCCCGAGTGGAGCGTCAACATTAGCAGAGAACGCTTTCTTCAAGGCCACTGTTTAGCAGATCCCGGGATGATATTGGATTGCATAAAAAATCTGCGAAGAACAGGTTTGCATAGATTGCGTTTTCACTTTTGTTTTTTTCCTCTAATCAGGTGCTCCTAATTTTCCCTAGGCCTTGACGAAACCGCCATACTCATCCAACAACTGCCAGGCAAAGTACAATGTCGCTGTTTATTTTTGTCAACCATGTACTTTCGAAGTTTCTCACGCTCTTTCTGGTCGTCTTTTAGTGGATCCTGGGATACACGTAGAATGTACACGCTAACGCAGCTGGCTGGGAGATACGAAAACGCGGCTATCAAGGTTTGCGAAGTTTAGAATATCTAATGTCTGGTGTCACATTGCGTGTTCTTAACAGAAACTAACTGGGATAGTATTTTTATCTTCCGGGCAGGACATTCTTCGTATTGACTCGGGTGCGTAGATTTCGTTTGTGACAATTTTCTGAAGATAGATCCACATTTGATCTTTTCTTCCAGGGGAAATGTACTTTCCCGCAGTGTTCTTCATTTAGACACCACCACTATCGTCCACAAAAGCTATTTTTTTGCTACTGGGGACACGCCAATGCAGCAGGGTGTGTTGCTTTCATTTTACTTACACTGATCACTGTTATGCTTAGGAATCTCGTGGTCTTCTTCATGCGGGATCGGATTCTTTCGAAAGTGACTCTCTCAACTCTGTTTTCCAGTTCTATTGCAAATGGATGCCCTGCCAACAATTTGCAGGCGGGCTCCGAAGAGACACAGTTGTGGATACGTCAGTACGCCCGGCCTCTCAAATAGACGCACCCAAAGTCTCAGGACGATGGGAACTTGGAATTAGTCTCGACAACTTGCTAATTTGCGAGGCTGGCGGCCATTTCCACCGAGACAGCGAGAAGGAAGCAGGCGTGGTTGCGACCGTCTTCCAAAGATGGTGTTCACGAAGAGTGAATCCAGTGGTTCTGTCCAGGCCATTCTCAGAATCCCACGCAGGACTTTGCACTGAACTGAATTTGCAAGACCTCCGAGAAGAAGCAACAACACTGCGTCTACAAGGAGAACATTCCAAATTCTTAACGTTCCATTGATCGAAAAAGAGTAGCATAACCACGATTGGCACTCAGAGTTAGTGAACTAAGACTTCTTGGCCGAAAGTTAAAAATACTATCACCTGTTGCAAAAATATGATCAACACTAATCTGTAAAGAGTTGTGAGAAGAGCTTGAATCTCAATTTAGGGTTCTTGCAATGAAGAGGATTGAACTCTTTAATATGAACACTAGAAATTAGTATTTAGTTTTTCATAACACATAAAATTTTATTGTCCATTTTTTTAAAAAAAATTGGTTATATGTTCATATTCCAGTACAATAAGGAAGCTTGGCCATTTTGGAGTAGGAATCCTGAGCTGAGCAGACTCCAAAGCAATAGCAATTGAAGAAAGATTATCATTATAGGTGAAGTTGGTGCTAGAGGCCTTGATACTGGTTTGTGTTGCCATTGGGGAAATGGCATTTATGGTGTTTCCAAGGGTGATTGAGTGCTAGGCAAGGCATAAACTTCATGGGCACAAACTCCAAGGGCATGAACTTCATGCTCTTTGACATATTAGATGGTCTTTTAAATGTTAGGGATATCCCAAATTAGAACATTCCAGCTAAAAACCACTTGATGGATCTGTTCTTTATAGCAGTAACACTCCTTCACACAACCAATCAAGTTGTTTTGATTGTTCTAAAATTGAATGTCTCACCCTATGTGGTATGCAACTTAAGTTAGGTTCAAGAGGTTTTCTTCCAAATGCATCATAGATAATGTTAAGGTTAAGACCAAAAGCATCCTAAGCATGCTAGAGAAGGTGAGAAGGCATATTGTATTTTGTGTTATTTTTAAAAGTTTTATTTGTTAAGTTATGATATGAATCTACCATGTGTTATGCAGAAAAGAAGATAATGGTTTTTGTGATGACAAGTGTGTTGCATGTCTTTTGCCAGGGTATGATACTCTACTAATATCA